AGTTTGTAGTTTGTGATGTGGAAAAATGGATTTTCAATCTTTATTTTTTTACATGATATATCAAGAGAAATATTCACAGCGTTTTATATATTTGCAGAGGCTGCAGGAGGTGCAAGCTGACACACTGTTATGTTGTGCAGACAGCTGAGAGGGAGCTAAGTGTTTGGTTAATGAAGGCTGAGGTATTCAGAGGGCAGAGCTACTGTTGGCTGTGCTCTGCTCCCCGGTCGCGTGCCCTTTGATCAGACACTGAGCACACCTGACATTTACACGCCTGCACGCTTTGCCACGTGTCATAAAACAAGCGCAGCGCCACTGCCCCTCACACTCAGGGCAGGGGTGATGTTTAATAACGGGGCGCGTATAATCACGCTGATTAGGATTCAGCGTCCACTCCCAACCCCTGGGAGAGGTGATCCGTGTGTCTGAGAGCGTGTGAGAGACGGAAGGACAGAGCGTCGGTGCTAAAACTGTTTTACACTTTTATCTGGTTTTTTTTTAATCTAATCTGTTATGTGGGACTTTTTTTTTGTCTTTCCCAGCAACCCCGAGCATCAAAGCCATCAGTCCGAGCGAAGGATGGACCACAGGGGGCGCAACAGTCATCATCATTGGAGACAACTTCTTCGATGGCCTCCAAGTCATTTTTGGAACAATGCTGGTCTGGAGTGAGGTGTGTTTCTGCAGAGACTTTAACTTTTTAAAGTATAAACAACAAAAACCTCTTTATTTAAATTGAGATTTCAGCAGATTTCAATGATGCCAAACACTTTTCTATTATAATATTGAGAATTGTAGAATACTTTCCTAAAATTATCAATATGTAATCCAACTGCTGTGTTCTTAAGATTTATCCTTTGCTTTTATTTAGCCGACAAACTTTTATTCCTTATAGTTTAACCCTATAATGCCAAATATATCATATTTGATACATACGGTTTCTGAAATGTTTTGCTTCTGACATCTTTTACATAATTTAATGGTAAAAACTTTGCTCAAAATCCTATTGTACACAATCAGATATACCTGATAACAGCCAGTAGAAGACTACAGAAAAATAATCTTGACTTGTCGCATAGTAATAAATTATTAATATCAAGAATGTATTTCTGTTTTTTCTTTTTACATATTTTGTTAAAAGTCCAAATAAGGAATTCAAACCAAAAAAAGTAATTTTCTGTTTTGTTTTATTCTTGGATCGGGCTTTAAATGGTTAAATATATAAACGTAAAGTTTGATTTATCCCTTTTTAATCTTTTAACATGATTTTTTGAAAGAAAAATCTTATTTTTATTAGTTGATTTCTTAATTTTTGGTTAAATCTTTTTTTTTTTTTCCTGAACTAAACGGATCTCCTGTTTCTAATTTTATTAAATATTAAGAAATAGAAAGAAGACAATAATCAGCCTATAATAACAGCTACATTTGATAATGGGAAGGAAATCTTAATTTATTTCCCTTAATCCAGTGATATTATACATTTTTGCTTTGAAACATGTCATATGTTATAATAAAATAATTCAATATATTGCAGAAAGGGACCATAGATGCTTGGGGATTTATGCATTTAATCCGTATTAAAGCATTTAATCTTCTAAAGCTGCTCTTATTACACATAAAAAAATTATTGTCATTGATCAGGGGAAGTTTTTCTTATAAAATTGGTAGATTTTCTGTTCATTTTAACAAGCAACAGTCAAAATAATACATATTGACTAAAAAACAGGTGATTAAGGTAAGTTAATAACTTCATTAGGTTCTTTTTTGCTTCCATCACAGAAGCGGAGCAGCAGCCTGCAATCTGTGCAGCTCTCTGTTCACCTCCTTCCTTACCTGTCATTTATTCAGCGGCGTTTCAAACCGCTTTTCTTGAAATATGTGTGCGAGCTGTAACAGGACGAATCCCTTTGTAAAGAGCATCTGCCACACGACTAAAATGTAAATGCAACGAGTTAAAAAAAAAGTGAAGGTCAGCGAAGCAGAGCGGCGAAACAGCTTTCTCTTTAGTAAAGGAATAATTCTATAAAAAGCTCCTATATTGTCTCACTGAGGGGGTGATTGGATGGGGGGGGGGGGGGAGACAATGGTGGAATGAAAAGCGAGCTAAGTGAGGAATGAAAGGGACGCTTAAGAGCAACGCACACATGCATCCACATACTTAAAGTGCTGCTTCTAAGTGCAAGCTGCAGCAGAAAACTGGCCCTCAACGAGGTCTGCTCTGTGTTTTCATACAGTTTTCTTCTAACACCCTTCACTTTCCACACCTGCGTACAATGCAAGCCGCGCTAAATGAGCCTTTTTATGTGGCTAACAGCAGCTAGATGGCTCCAGCTGACAGACGCAGAGACGGGATTATTTTACACTTGCTTATGCTGTTCAATAGGTGTGTTTTATTCATAAACACATCGCAGCTTTTGAATCTTTATTACACAGCCCATGTCAGTGCTGATAACCGTCCTAAGCCTCACAGTGACATTGCCTCAGGCTACGACGCCACCTGAGGGCTTTGCAGCTAACGCATCGTTTTCAGGCTTATTATACAAAAAAAAAAAGCTGGAAAGCAAGAGAGGCTTGAACAATCCTAGAGTTCTCCCAGGAGCGCCTGGTAAGATATGAAGTTTCATTTCATTAATCCGCCTCCATTCTGCCTCTCTGCAGCTGATCACTCCGCACGCCATCCGTGTGCAGACTCCGCCCAGGCACATCCCAGGGGTGGTGGAAGTCACGCTGTCCTACAAATCCAAGCAGTTCTGCAAAGGCACACCTGGACGCTTCATCTACACAGGTAGCATCACACATCAGTGTCATA